GAAGTGGACCACGGGCAAGGGCACAGTTACACGTGGCTGTAAGTGCACTGAGGGAAAAGACCAGATGCCGGGAAGAGGACTGTTCTCAGTAGATGAGGCAGTCGCTGTGGTGATGTTTGACCTGGGACCGAGGCTGAGGAGGACCCAGCCAAGTGAAGGATTGGTAGGAAGACTCTTCCAGGCAGAGGGAACTGTGTGTGAAAGTGAAGAGCTTGGAAGGGTTGGGGAGCTCACGGTGGAGGGATCGGTGCACTATTTACCGGTGCGTAGGCAGGAGCCACGTCACTCAAGGCATCTCAGGCCGAGTCAAAGGACGTGGATCTTACCCACCGTGCAGGCAGAAGCTATGCTAGGGTTTGTCAGAGAATGACACAATCCATTTACATTCTTTAAAACTTACTCTGACTCCTGTGTATATGCTGAATTAGAGGACAGGATGGAAGTGGCCACTTAGGAAGCTGTTCCCTACTGGACAAAACACAGCAGAAAGGAAGAAATCACTGATTCTAACAGATAAAACAAGCACTTCCCTGTGGTTGTAACTGTCTGTGCCAAGGAGGCATGATTCCTGCCCTTCTTTACCCCGCAAGGACAAAATAAAACTATTTAAACTCAGTAGAAATCAGGAACTGAAGGAACAGGCTCGGCCCAGCTCCTTACGTTTTTCCCTCAGCTTCCCTCGTCCTTCCCCAAGTACCACGGTATTCAAGAGAGCCACAGAAACAGAATGATCCAGAACGTTTCCTCCTTGTGTTGGCTGAAACTTAGTTCAGAAAGCAGTTAACAATGCTATTAAAATACCAAATAGTAAAGCAGGAGTTATGAATATTGAGGCCAGGAAGAGGAGAAAATATGAACGTACTTATCATAGGAAGCCGAAACATGTAGGTGGTTGACGTAGATTTCTTGTTTCTTAACTCTTTGGAGGTAGAAAGATCATACTCAGATTGTGGATCAGAATAATTTTGTTTCTTTATCCCCCGCTAACCCTTCTCCGGTCAGCTTTGATTCCTATTTCATCCTTCAGAGTTCGTGGTATCAAGACTGGAGAACATCAAGAAACAATATGAAAACAGCCCCCCAAAATGTCGCATTAGTTTTGTCAGAAAGTTCATTTATGAATTAAAAGGAGATAGGAGGGAAGAAAGGTTACAGATCTGTTGAACATTTACCAGTATATCACTTATTGAGCAACTCTCTGTGCCAGGCACCAAGCTGGCCTGCTTTGCTTTTCTGAGTTTGTAGTGGGAGAGGAAGACTAGCAAACAGGCTGTCAAAAGCCGGTGTGGCTTGCACTTTGAAGGGCCAGTGTGCCAGTCTGCGAGCATGGAGCAGGGAGCCTCACCCTGACCTGCACCCAGAGAAAACGATGTCCAGACTGAAAGCTGAAAGACAAGTGTGTAATAAGCCAGGAGAGAGCGGTACCTTTCAGAAATCTGGGAGTAGCCCTATAGGTGGAGGTTTATTTCTGTACTTCGCACTTTGAGGCTGTTCCATTGATCCCGAGGTTTCTACAACGTATCTTTTGGTGTCTTTAAGTAAAACAGTGTAGCCTTTGAGTATCTTTTAAGTAAAAATAAGCTCATCATGTTTAATTAACAGCTCCACCTTTGCCATTCTTTACCCAGTCTGTCCAAATCTAGGTTAGTAATTCCAAGGCCTACAGAAATTGTGACATAAACGGAAAACATTTCAAATGACTAAACTGGAAGGAAGAAGAGTGAGTGGGTTGTCAGTGATTTTCATCCCTAATGTGTATGATTCCATGTGCAGTTTGAGCCAGAATATGCAACCTCTCAATTTCTCAGTTTGTTTATCCAGAAAATGGGGCTTAGAAAATTAGTTCTGGGAGAGCTGTGAGAATAACTCCAAGCATACATACCCTTTTATAGGAAAGACTTGGAATAATCTGCCCTAGTCATTCGTCATTTTAGCAACATTTCCTGATGAGATTAAAGCACAGGACAGCCTTGGTTGGCACTAGCCTGCTGTGAGGCAGGTAGACCAGTAAGCTTGGGTGGGTAAGAAAAAATGTGACTTTGGAGACAGCCCAAGTTCAATATGCAGATACAACAACTAGCAGGGGGCGAGAAGGGCAAAGCGAGGGTTCCGGCGGGGGGTCTCTAGGACAGCCGGCTTCCCACCACTTATTCCAGGACTGTTTTCCACCTAGATTCACTATGGAATTTCTTCTCATTAGAGCGTATGGATTTTAAAATGTTTGTTTTCCAGAATTTTCCAGAAAAAGTTTAAGGCAGGAAAAGCGACCTCTGGGTGCTGGTGCTTCTTCCCACACTCTACCTAGCCCTGCGGTTTTCAACCATTTTCATCTCAGGCCACACATAAACTAACTCCTAAAATTCCGTGGCACACCAAAAAATATATTTCCTGCCAATCTGACCCCCAAAATAGGTGTAATTTTGATTCATTCACACTGGATGGCTACTGTACTGGCTGTTGTCATTTTTTTTATTTGACAATCTAAGGGAAAAGAGGTCAGTGCCCCTGACTAGATAGTCAGGTGTTGCATGTTTTAAAACTCACAGCACACCGGTGGAAAGTCGCTGCTCTAGGCTGTTTCTAGTTGGTGTGGTGCATTTAGACAGCTGCTCAGGAGCCTCCAGAGCCAACCCAGCCGGGGTGGGGGGAGGTGAAGGTTAGCAGGGAGGCTGTGTGTGACTTAGCCTGGGGTTTGGGGTCCGCAACAAGCCACATGGGTTTCATGGCCCTCTGCTAGCCTCAGCTGGTCCCCTGGAGGCTCAGGCGACAGGACGATGTGTGGCCATGGAGAGAAGTACTTGGGTGCTGGTCTCTACTTCCCTCAGGTTGAGAAAAATCATGCATCAAAAATCCTTTAAAAGAAGACGGTTTCATGTTCCTCATGCTTCTGTCTCTCTCCCATTGGCCTGCTCTTCCTGCCAGCCCTTCACTGGGACTGCGCACGGAGTGGGCAAGGAAAGAGAAGGGGCTCGGCCACTGTGCGGAAAGCCAACAGTTGTGGTTGAGGCCAAAAATGAGGAAGTTATTAAATGCCACAAAGTTTTTGTGAGCGCTCAGGCCTGGTCTTTGTTTTGCCCCAGCAGACATTAGAGTCTAGAGGAGAGCTGGAAAGGAAAGCTTGCTGTCAGAAGGATTATAGCAATGGGAGGTCTTGGGCCTGCTCTTTACAGTCGTGTAATCTTTACATTCACGCATTCGATGGTGCGATGCCTCTGAATCTGTGTTCTGCCGCAGCTTAAGCTGGACGGCCATTGGGGTTGGTGCTTCTGAGGGTTGTATGAGGAATCCTAATTGGAGACCATGCGATGAATTCTGCAAAAAGGCTTTTACAAGTTAACTCTTTAGCCAAGGCCCTTCTCGGTATTATTTCCAGCATAAATTAAGGTCTTTTCAGTTGTGTCTGTTTTATATAACCTCTTAGTTGAAAGGAGCTCTAAATGAAGGTACCCTAGTAAGACAGTGTGCAAACCATGTGTAGGCAATATGCTAGACAGTTAATAGACATGACCTGGAAACTTTATAGCAACTCTGCAAGATAGGTGTACTAGTGGCTCATTTGCTGAGTGCTGAATATGTTCCAGGCTCTATTCTAAGGGCTTTACCTGGATCATTTTAAGTTTCGCAACAATCTTTTACACCCATTTCAGAGATGAGACAACTGAGGCACGGAGAGGACAAAATCACGGACCTGGGCAGTGGGTAGAGCCAGGCCTAAGCTCAGAGAGGCTGGCTGACTCCAGAGCCAGGCTCCTAACCGTAGTGCGCCCTGCCCCTCATTTTCACGTTGCAGACGAGAAGTCTGAGGCTCAGAGTGTACATGCCCAATGTCATCAGTTCGTAAGTGAGAGAACCTCAACCAAGTCGTCAGACTTCAAGTTTGGGTACATAATGAAACTACTCAAATCCCAGAATCCTAAATTTGGTAAGAAAAGTAATGTACAGAAGGAGGTGATGGTAAATATAATCAAGGTAAAGATGAAACTTCAGCTTGGAAATGGAAACTCCCTGGTCATCTTCCCTCATAGCCTGAAATGACAAGAAATCAATACCGTTCAATAACCCCACTCACCCCGACCCCCTTAACAAGGCCTCCGCAGAGGAGAAAAGGCATGTGCTTGCACCTTCTCAGATTCCTACTTGTGTGATTCGTGAGGGGCGAACCAGTCAGCTCTTAGAGGCTTAGAAAGATCTTCACGTTGAAAGCACGGTGCTGGTACCCAGCAGAGTGGAATGTGGCACACCCGCTTCAGAGCCCGGTGCAGGGGGCCGTCAGGGCATTTGGAAATTCCACAGCCAAGACTCTCCTAAGGAGAAGAAATATGCCTGTTTCCATGGCAGAATGCATTGGCCGCATGGGGCTTAACATTTTTTCTGACTCCCTGGGAGTATGAAGGAAACGAGTTATGGGGATGGTGTTAGGGACCAGGTTCGGGGGGTGAATTTAAATGGACGCACGGAAGGCTTGCCTGCAGCGTGGTGGAATCCAAACAATCTGAAGTAGCTGAGGCTCAAGAGCTGGCATGTGTGCTGAGCTGCCACCCACTGACCAGAGCAAGGGCTGCCCCGCTTGCTGAGCACTCTCCTCAGAAGTGTGGCAGGGGCACCTGGTCTCAGGGAACCACCTCATCGGACAGTTTGCTTCAGTGAGTCCAGTTTTTCACTTGCCAACAGATGCTGAATTATTGGGGACTTCAGCCTCATAACAACATGTCTTTCCTTCCCCCTTGTTTGGGAAAATCTGGTGTTCTAAGACTGGAAGTACACTTCATTGCGTCACAGACACATAGATAGGAAATGATGAAGACCCTCAGTAGTGGATTTGCTTTCTTTTGAGCAGAGAACTTTCATGGGTGTAGGCTTAGAACCTTGCTCTTAGCTGTGTTGCTTTGCTCTAACTCCAGGATTGATTTTCATGCACATTTCTTGTTAGATTCATTTGTGCCCCTGCCCACAAAACACCATCATGCTCAACTTCCTCTTTTCCTTTTTTTTTTTGGCAGAGATGTGTGTGCAGACCCAGGCCCTGCAGATACTGACACCTCTGACTCCTTCAGCCAGGAGCACCGCACCTCTGACCCCCAGCCCAGGAAAGCGACATGGTCAGGAGGAGCTAAGCTTCGGCTGAAGCACAGGTAGGAGGCATCACGGTCTGGACCAAGTGGTCCAGGAAAGGACCTTGGCTGCTGGAAGAGGGAACGGGGGGGGGGGGGGGGGGAACGAGGCTGGAGAAGATACAGGTTAGGGAGACGGGTGAGGAGAGGCCGAACAAGGGGGCCAGAAGCTCAGAGTTCAGAAGGATAACATCTTACTGGCAGTTTTCAAATTGAAGTTCTGAAGAACCCAGAAAATTCCTGGGAGGTAATCTGGGGCTCCCTCAAATCACTTGATTCAAATACCTTTCCAAAAATATATCCATAACCATTTCTAAAACTATAATTGTAAAACACTCCAAGTAATATACCAATGTGTTATACTTTGGAAATGACAAATGTGTCAAATTGTGCAGCATGATTAATTCATCTTTGAGCTGATATTCATTTAAAGCTTTTCTTGTTTTTAACTGAAGAATGTCCTGAGATTACTAAATTAACCTAATAAAAATTTGCAGCGACTTAATCTGTGCTTCTCTGCGCTAGGCGGTGCACCAGGATTTTGCATATCACATCAGATCCTCACACCAGTCCTGGGAGGTTTGCACTAGGCTTGTACTAGGAGGTGGTGGATTCAAATTCAGGCAGTTTGACCAAGCTCATAGCCACTATACTCTATGGCCTCGGCAATCAGCATTACAGAACCTAGTTCGTAGGAGAACCAGGGGAATTCAGTGAGATAAGGTATTTAAAGCACTTAGCACAGAGCCTGCTCATAGGAAATGAGAACTAAATGGTAGGTATTGGGTTGGCCAAAAGTCTGCTTAGTTTTTACCATAAAATAAAAGACATGTTTTTCATTTTCACCAGTAACCTTATTGATTTGGATATTTTGAGCATGTTGGCCATTTCCTGGGTGGTACAACATGGATTGTTCTCAATTGTGTCTCAGTTTAATTGCTATCAACTTCAACTGGTCTACCCGACCATGGAGCATCGTCCAGCGAGAAATCTCCAGCATGAAACTTCACAAACCACCTTTGACACATTCGATCAGTCACAGCACCTTCTCCATACACTGCACAAATCATTTTTTGCATTTCACTTGTGTTTTTACCTTTCTTGAAATAATAAAGCATAATATGCTGGAAATGTTGAGTATTTTCCTCTATCTTCAATATTAAAATGGCTACACAAAAGTTCACCAATTTTGATAAGATTTTAACTTATGGCATGCTGATATGACAGCTGTTACAATACAACCTAACAAAATTGTTTTGAATGAAGTTAAAGGCAACTAATTGCTACTAGAGCCATCTTAGGGAAAAAACCAAACTTACTGGCCAACCCAATAAAATAAATATTCGGTGGCAGTGCACTGTTGTGGTTATTGTCCTCATCACCATTTTCATCATTCTCATGGAGATATGCGCGCCAACACGAAGGGCAGTATAATATAGTGAGGTAGATGCGGTCTGCGGCATCAGGCAACCTAGAATTCACACTGTGATTCTGCCACTTACTCTGCAACTGCAGGCACATTGTTTAAGCTCTCATAGCTTCCAGTCTGTACAATGAGTTTAATAACTAAACATAGGGTTGCTGAAAGGATTGAAAGTGCTAACACATGCAAAGCACCCAACAAATGTTACTGTTGATATCAATTTCCCTGACTTCAGTTAGGCGATTCTTTCATGTGGATATGTGAATTACCATTACAAACATTATCAGTGTTGTGTTTAGTCATTATGTTTTCTTAGTCTCCTCTAATCTGTTACTTCCTCAGTCTCTCCTTGCCTTTTATGACCTTGACACTTTTGAAGAGTGTGGGTCAGTTATTTTGTAGAATGCCTTCTATTTGGATTTGTCTGATACTGTCCCATGATTAGATTGAGGTTATGCATTTTTGGCAAGATTACCACAGAAGTGATATGTCCTTCTTAGTGTGTCCTTGCAGGGATTACCTAATGTCAATGTTTTAATGCTGGTGATATTAACCTTGACTACTTGGTTAAGGTGAGGTCTGCTAGATTTCTCCTTTATAAAGTTATTATTTATCTCTTTGTAATTAATAAAAATCTTTGGAGACATAACTTTGAGGCTATGCAAATATCCACTTTCTCCTCAAACTTTCTCCCACATTTAGCATCCATCAGCAGCTATTGCCTGCAACAATTATTGCTGTAATGCTGTAAAGATGATTCTGTATTTCCTTCTACATTTATTCATTGAAATTCTTCTCTAAGGAAGAGCTGTCTCTTTCCCCCACTTATTTACTTATTCAACTATTTATATCAGTAAGGATTCCTTCATATGTCAGTCATATTTTATGGATTATAATCCAATACTACTGTTTCTTTCTTTATTGCTCAAATTTTTCCAGGTTTGGTCACTGGAAACTCTTTCCAGCTGGTTTTGGTCTACATTCTGGTTTGAGATTTGGAAAGGGGTGAGATGCTGGTGTCTAGTTCTTCCACATACAGGGAGCAGATGGGAGGGGCTTATCTTCTTAGGAGTTTTATGAGTGTTGCGGTGGGAGGTTAGTGGGCATTGAGCAAGTCTGCTTTGTAATGGGAACCTGTGCAGTGATCTTGGAATTGGAAGTGCTTAGGCCACCTCATGAGCCAATTCCTAGTCCAATGGGCCACAGGTATATATAGCTCCCTTTTCATGAAAAGATATCCAGAAAGGATGTCTGACTTATTTATAAGAAAAGAGTAAAAAGAAAAACCTCCCTTCCCCAAGGTATATATAGGGACCAGTCAAATAACTGAGTTCAAGAGAGACTCTTAGTAGCCCAGGGTTACTATTCTCACACATCCAGACCCGTTCTTCCTTTCCTGCTTGGTTCCTGAATTCTCTCACATCTAACTTAATGGGAATGCTACTGTCTAACTTATCTTGGCAGAAACTTCTCCCTTAAAAAAAAATCTGTCAAGATTTAGGCCAGGTTCAATGGGTTGGTAAAGGAGACAAAATGTTCTTGTTGAAAGCCCAGTATTTTCCGAGCCAGTGCTTGCCTGCTTGAACTTCTCATTCCTGCCTCGCCTTCTGCCACCGGTCACCACCAGCATTCTAACAATGATCTCATCTAATTATTAATCATTTACCCGTATATGGTGACATATTTCGTGCTCCGTAAAGTAAATCAAGATGGGTAATAGAAATACAGGGCTTGACTCCTAATACATTCACAATTGTGCAGCCAGGTTAGTTCAGCTGGCACTTTGCACTTCCCCTGACAATGAGGTCTGTCCCCGTGATGCTGACGTAGTGTTCTCAGAATGGTGTGCTTTAGGAGGCTTTGGTGGATGTTGATAGAGAACCGACGACCCTTGCTCCAGTGGCCTCCCAAACTGTAGGCAGCTTAAAGCAATTAACACACTTTTGCAGACAGTGGCATTTTTGCCTGTGAAGGAGGATGTCGGTTTAGCAGGGAAGATCATTCAAGGAAACATCCTGATTTTAGTTTGATGCATTTTTATCAGCAGATGATTTTCCTTGCTTCCCTCCTCTTCCTGCCCACAAAGTAACATTCTGGCATTTCTAAGCTGCATGCTATTATCTGGGATGCTGGTGCTTCTCAGAAAAAAAATTACCGAGAGTCACCTTCTCTTCTCCCTTTTCTAGAGCAAAAATTGAACTTTAATTGGCCAGTTTATGAGGTGACTGAGAATCTGGGTCCCTCCCACTTGCACTAAGCATAGCGAGTTCAGGGCAGTTCAGACTGTCTGACTGGAGGTGCAGGGAACTGCCTGGCAGGCTTTGTAACCCTGAGAGGAACAGAGAGCAGTAATGGGAGTAATGGCTTTATACCACACTCCTGGCTAGAACATTCAGTTGGCCAGGGGGTTGTTATCTAGGGTGTTACTGTTTACCACAAGGTAAGTCCAATGTTACATTAGAATGAGATTCAGAATCTTTCATTGCATGATTCTCAACTGACAGGCCTTTCACAGGTGTCTGTTTGATGTTGTGCTATGTCTGTTGATAACGAAAAAGAAAGCCAACCGCATGTTTAAGTCCGTTTCTCTAAATTGTCATGAAAGTTATTATGTGAAGACCTCATGGAAGTCAGTATACCATTAAGGTCTCTGTAAGGGAATTGTCCATCATTCTCTCTCCTATGTACTGTCACTGACCATGTGCTTTACGATGTGCGTGTTTAGAGTGGCTTTCTATCTCACGCAGGTGAGCCGTCGCTCTGTGTTGTGTGCTCCATGGTTTCGCTTCGCCACTTCCCTTGGGAATCTCAGAACATTTCTTTGTTTCTCACAGGGAAAGGCTACTTACCTATGTAGTTAGTAGTAGCCAAGTTCTCTGTTCTCATTGACATTTGTGTAAAGAAATGGAACCTGTGAATATATTCTCAGTTTTAAAGAAAAGGTATAGTCTTCTCATGCAACTTCGAGATTACATGAAAAGTGTTCATTGAGATTGCCAGTTTTACATTATTTAATTCCATTACAGTTAAAGGTTTAAATACTTGATTATCTTTTCCTTTATTCACAATAACCTGTGCTCAGCTTTTATCCTTATATGGATTCAAAATTTTTGTTCAGAGTTATGCTCAAGGCCAATGTTTGCTTCTAAGGGTGCTTTTACTTAAAAGAAAATATAATATGGAAAAGGACAGGTGGATACAACGGTCATGGTGATGTTCTAGATCTGAAGGTGACTTGACTATTTATTTTATTATTATGGGCATTTTATTATTATACCTTGTAAAGGGTAAAAAAGAAAATGCAAACTGCTTATATTATAAAACATATAGAGAGAGAGGGCTCACAGGGCTGGTTTTTCAAGTTTTATTTGGCATTCTTTCATTTGAAAGTAAGAGAGCATTCTTCTGGATTTTATTATTTTCTACCCAACAGTATCAGGTTATGAGTGAGTAATGGTGGAGGTTAAACTTCTTATTTAAAATTGAATATGGACATATTGGTGTGAAGGAACCAATGAGTTGGAGCAAATGTTCTCAAAGTTTTCAGCTTCTCTGCCTTAAAAATCTTCACTACTCTCTCAGATTCCAATATTACTTG